TCCAAGCGTGAGCCCCGGTGGCCTCCAGGATCTCAGGAAAAAGGTAGGGAAAAGGTTTGAATAGGTCTGACTATGTGAGGAGTCCCCCGTTTTTCAGACCCCCACCCTCCAAAGTTCCCCTTTGAAGACCCTTAACAAACTGAGAAAAATTCCCACGCATGCCCAGGCCCGAACCCACATTCCCTGGACCCCTTCGGCTGCTGGCATGACCGACACGCTCGCATTGCAGCAGCTCGCCCTTTTGGGAAGAAAACATTTTTTTCATCTTTCGAGCACTGCGATGCTGCAGTGCGCACACCGAGAAGAAGTGACAGTGCCAGGCAGTTTTTGGGGGACATCGGAGGCTGCGATTTCTGGACCTCCCCCAGCATCCCCAGCTGATGGGGCTTTGGAGTTCTGCTGCCTGGCTGGGCCTCTTCCAGGGCTCTTTGCCTTATGGACCCTTCGTTCCCTCGTTCTGGTAACTCCTCAATTTCGGGGTGTGAAGGGGGGAGGATCTTGCAAAGTCCTAATGGGTCTTCAATGGGGGCTCTCCAAACGTCAGCTCAAGAACGGACCTTTGCAAACTTCAGGTTTCAAGGTGTGCTTGTGCTTGCATAAACCGACTTGCGTGCGTGAGCCCCAGGCAGCTCCAGCCCGCCCGCCCCCCCCCCCTCCCCCAAGCATCCTATTTCAGAGCCCTTGGCGAACTGAACTGGGGGGATTCCCACGAGCACCACAGGCCGAAACCAAGTTCGGCCCCCGCAGGACAAACGCACATCCCGATTTTCAGGGAGCAGACTCCACATACACCACATACACCATGCTTGCACTCTCAGCTTGCATTACCTCACCCACGTGTCTGCTCAATGGCCGCCCAGAGCATGGCCAAAAAATAGATTCAAACTCTTGGAGAGCGTGGTCGAAGGAAAAGTGCAGCCTGGACCCTGTCAAGTCTCAACTTTGCAGGGCATGCTCCAGTTGTGACGGGCTTTGGAGTCTTAGTGGGAGGTTTCCGGGCAGGCCATGGCTGTGTGCCTTCGACCTTTCTGTCTCCCCGCCTTCCCACGCAAACCCCTCAGGTTTGCCTGGAGCGGCGCTCATTTGAGACTTTTTCTGGGCTCTGAATCGGCATGGGGTCTGAAATCGGGGGTTCCCCAAGACGTCGGGAACCCTATGAAAGACCTGGGCAGCGTGCACCCTTCAAGGATCTTCAAGGTACATGAACGCGCCTGCAGTGACCCACCCCGGCAGCCCCAAACCCCGACCATCCCAAACATCCCTTGCCAGACCCCTTGGCTTGGCGGAATTGAGGGGGTTCCGCCTGCTTGCCACAAGGCCCAGATCCCGGCTTCACACAAGTTAGCCGCATGCGTGAGCCCCGGAGCGTTTTAGGACCCTATTAGGAAACAGGTAGGGGGAACAGGTCTCAGTAGGCCAACCCTCCAAAAAATCCCCGTTTCTGTGCATGTCGACTCGGCGCTTCTCGGCGTGCGAAGGAGAAAAACAGCGAAGGCTGGCACACTGCGGCCCTAGAGGCCCCGGCCATCCTTCTTGCTTGGAAGCCCCCCGTTTCACAAAAAGTTCCCCTTTGCAAACTTGACACTGAGAAAGTTCCACGGGTGCCCAGGCTCGAACCCAGGTTCCCTGGTCCCCTTCGGCAGCTGCTCGGGGGGGGAGGGGGTAAGGGGTAGGTTCTCCCGCGCACGGCAGACGCTGAAGGCCCCAACCCCACCTTCCAAACGTCCCATTTCAGACCCCTTGGCGAACTGAAAAGGTCCCAGTGGCACCACAGGCCCGAACCCCGGTTCCCAAAACAGTCCCTATAGTGTCATCGACAGTGCTCATGACAAACGCTCTGAGCATCTCGAAGGCTGAGGCCGGGAGAAAGCCCCGCTTTTCAAAAACTTTGTGGGGATTCAGAGGCCATGCTTTACAGACCTTTCCGTCTCCCCGTCTCCACACGGCAGAAAAAACCTGAAGGCCGGGCTAACTCAGACCTTTTGGGGGTCTAAAATGGTGGATAAAGAGGGGAACGCATCCTTGAGTGTTCAAGGTAAACGCGCGTGATCGCGCGTGCTTTTCTCGTTACGAAAGAGGAGAGCGAACCATCTCCAAGCATGAGCCCCGTGGAGGGAAAAGGTCTGAATTTGTCTGAGTAGGTGAGGAGACCCCCGTTCAGACTGCCAACCCTCCAAAGTCATTCCTTTGAAGGCCCTTAACAAACTGAGGAACATTCCCACGCATGCCCATGCCCGAACCCAGATTCCCTGGACCCCTTTGGCTGATGGCATGACCGACACGCTGGCATTACGGCAGCTCGCCTTTCTGGGAAGAAAGCTTTTTTAAGTCTTTCGAGCACATGCCCCTGCTGCAGGGATGGCACACGATTTCATATCTCAAGTGTGCCATACGCGATGAGCTCAAAATGTGCGTGCAAACCGAGAAGAAGTGACAGTGCCAGGCAGTTTTTGGGGGGACATCGGAGGCTGAGATTTCTGGACCTCTCTGTGTCTGCATGGGGGTTCTGCCAACAGACATTTACAGTAAAGGCCCGGTCTTTTCAGTCGCCCTAGCCCCAGCAGCCCCAACTGATGTCGAGAAACCTCGACACAAAGAAACACTCCAGTGACTACAGTACAGTATATATGCTGTATCTGTGCAGCAGCACATCGCCGCCCCCTTCGAGATGGGCAGCGCATCGCCTCCCCCTTCGAGATGGCTCTGCTCCCCCTGCGATCCCCTGCCTTCTGCGCATGTCGACTCGGCGCTTCCCGCCGCGTGAAGGAGAAAAAAAGAAAACATAGCGAAGGCTGCAGCACTCTGCGGCCCTTGAGGCCCCGGCCGCTCTCCAGGCGAGCGTCCTGGCACCAGGGGGGTGGAAAAGAGGGCGTGCAACTCGGGAGGGTGCTTTCGAGGCAAGGCTTCTGTCGGGGATGGGAAATGTCTAGGCACGGGTGGGAGACTTATAACATAACATAGATCTGCTCTGTGAGGTCCCAGACTTCAGGAACGATGCGCGTGTATTGTATCTATCAAGGCGTGGGGATCGGCAGATGGCGCGCGCCGTGCAGCTTTTTGTTTGGAGATGCGATGGGTGGAAGCGAAGCTGGCCTGCCTCATGGCTTCATTGCGGGCGACTCGTCGAGAGTGAGGCCGATAAGAGTTTGGGACGTCTTTCCTTCACGTCTTGGCCCCCGGTAGCTTCGGGCCTCCCGTTCGGTGAGGCTGTTTCTCAGGACCGCTGCGGGCCCCCCGCTTCCTTGACTCCCTTCTTTTATTGATGGATGTGCGCCACTCTCTCCGGAAAACGTCTGATTCTGCTGGTCTTGGGAAGTCAGGCGAATCACGATTGATGGAGCATGGGGCTTGCGAGGGTCCAAACCCGGGGTTTGCCCGGACATGCGGGAGTTCTGTCTTATCAAGGCGGAGCCAATCGGCCGCACCCCGAGCTGGCATGTGCCCGAAACAGCTACATCCCCTGCCCACGAGCCCCCCGATGATACTCCCGGAACTCCATCCGCTTTCTACGAATGAAAACGGGCGGCCTCTGAGGGCAGCCTTGGACTCCTTCGCCTCTGGCTACAAGCTGCAGGAGTTTTGGCACTTCTGCTGCGCATCCTCACTGCTTTCCATGTTCGTGGTTGCTTTGCTGTTGCTCTCTGTGTCTGCGAAGTTTCCACAACTTGCCGGAAGAAGACCACCGGCTCAGGTTGGCAAGGATGCCTGACATGCTAAGTCTCTTACGACGACAGGGGCCAGCGCAACCGACGAGCACGTGGTGTTCGGGCGGCTCGATGAGACTGAGGCCGCGGAGTTGGGGCACCTTTAGCCTTCACCCTGGTGGGGTTTCGGCCTCCGGCCGCGGAACATGTCACAGTTGCTTGCACTTCCTGTCGCTCTGAGCCGATGCACTCTTTCTGGAATGATGCGCTGTCTGATTTGACCGTTCTTGGTGGGAAGTCACGTCCAGCCTGCTCAGGGACTCTTTGAGCGGGAAGGTTTGCCACGACGGGAAGCCTTGAAGGCCTCTGGCTATGGCTGCTAGCTGCAGGAATTGTCGGGAGTCTTGCTGCATCCTCACTGCTTCCACGTTCGGTTTTGATGTTTTTGCTTTCCTGGTGTGGCGCGTATGGCGTGTATGGCGTGCGTGGCCTGGAGCGGACCAGACACCCGCACATGGCCCAAAACCCCTCAACCCACTCAACCCGAAGCCGCGAACTCCCAAACCCTAAACCCCTTCAAGCCCTCCCAAGTCCTACAAAGCCTAAACCTGCCTTGAAGCCTAAAATCCCAAATCCTAAGCTCCCTCCGCCCCTCAACCCGCCTTCCCATCCCCTGCACGGCATTCCCCTTCCCCTGCCCCGACTGCCCTTCCGAAACACTTGGCCGAGGATCACTCATGACATTCCCCCTCCCCTGCGCCGACTCCCCCCCTTGCTGCAAAACAGTTGCTCTTTAAGAATTTTTCGGGAAGTGACCTCTGCGAATCCCTGCGAAGGCCTCTGAAAAAAGACTCTGAACAAAGCCACTCTGAAAGACGCTCCATCTTGGGAGTTTGGGGCGTTGCTGCTCGAGTGGTCTGGGGGATCTCTGCCTCATCTTGGCTTTGGGGACCGCTGGAGCCTTCAAGTCCGGAGCCTGGGGGCCACTCGCAAATTTGCAAAACTCTGTAACCGAGCCCTCAACCCCCCGGCGCCTTGTTGGCGCCAACGTTCAGCAGCGCCCGGAGGCACTCCAGCTGGCCGTGCTCCGCTGCGATGTAGAGCGCGGTCGCGCCTCGGGCCAAGACCCACGCCCGAACACAATCTTGTCCAGGCAGTTGCTAGTATCATTAGCCTGCTCGCGTTTACAGCGTTCCAAGCATCCCGGAGGCGGAGGCCAATAAAGGAGAGCCCCCTTTTTGCAACCCCTTCAGCTTTTGTTTTCCTTTCCGTCTGCCCGTCTCCCCACGGCAGGGGGAAGGACACCTGAGGCCGGGCTAGCCAAGTCAGACCTTTTGGTGGGGTCTAAAATGGAGGCTAGCAAGTACGGAAGCCCATGACTGGACCGAGGAGAAACACATCCTGCAGATTTCCAAGCCGAGCGCACATACTGTATGAATACAAAGTGGAGAGCGAACCATCTCCGTGAGTCCCGGGGCCCTCTAGGACCTCAGGTAGGGAAAAGGTCTGAATAGGTCTGAGTAGGTGAGCAGACCCAGGCAAGTTCCCACGGATGCCCAGGCCCGTTCCCTGGTCCCCTGGTCCCCTTCGGCAGCTGCTAGCATGACCGACATGCTCGCATTTCGGAAGCTCGCCTTTCAGTTCAGGGAATGCATCTTTCGAGCCTTGCAACACTCCTGCTGCAAGGGTGGCCATACGCGATTTGCTCAAGATGTGTGCGCAAACCGAGAAGAAGTGAGAGTGCCAGGCAGTTTTTGGGGGACATCGGAAGCCGAGATTTCTGGACCTCTCCGTGTCTGAATGGGGGTTCTGCCAACAGATATTTAGAGTAAAGAGCCGCTCTTCTCAATCGCCCTAGCCCCAGCATCCCCGGCTGATGTCCACAAACCTCTGCAAAAAGAGACACTACAGTGACTACAGTATATATGATGTAGCATGCTGCGCATCGCCTCCCCCTTCGAGATGGCTGTATGCCCCCCCTGCGATCCCCTGCCTTCTGTGCACGTCGACTCGGCGCTTCCCGCCGCGTGAAGGAGAAAAAAAGAAAGAACAAGCGCAGGCTGCAGCACTCTGCGGCCCTTGAGGCCCCCGGCCGCTCTCCAGGCGAGCCTCCTGGCAGTAGGGGGGTGGGAAGGAGGGCGCACAATTCGGGAGGGTGCTTCGAGGCCGTGCTTATGTCGGAGATGGGAAACGCCTAGGTATGGGTGGGGACTTTTAACATAACATCTAGATTTGCTCTGGGGGGGGGGTCCCGTCAACACTTCAGGAACGATGCGTGTGTATTGTGTCTATTTAGAAGGCGTGGGGATCGGCAGATGGCGTGCGCCGTGCAGCTTTTTTTTTTTGGAGATGTGGTGGGTGGAAGCGAAGGCGGCCTGCCCCATCATTTCATTGCGGGCGACTCGTCGAATGTCTTTCCTTCACGCCTTGGCCCCGGTAGCTTTGGGCCTCCCGTTCGGTGAGACCATTTTTCAGGACCGCTGTTTCCTTGACTTTCTTCTTTTGTTGATGGATGTGCGCCACTCTGTCCGGAAAACGTCTTGGGAAGTCAGCCAAGTCACGATTGACGCAGCATGCGGCTTGCGAGGGTCCGAACCCGGGGTTACGGCCCAGGAGTGTGTTAAGAAATTTTATTAATTAAGAAATCTGGACCTGGACCGGCCACACATTTTAAAATCCAGGGCCTCGCGGGCTCGCCCCAAAAAATTCCGCCGAGGAAGTATTAAGCAACGTTCTCTGTCATATTTACCAAGAACCCAAGAAACTGCAAGCCTCAAACCCTCTAATCCCTTAAGCCCCGTAGTCTCAACCTAAAGCCTCTGCAAAAAGAGGCCCGGCACAAAAAGTCACCTTTTTTGAGGTGCTTGGGGCCGGAAAGGCCCAAAAAAGGTGACTTTTTGTGCCGGGCTCTTGCGGGGAAGAGGCCCGGCACAAAAAGTCACCTTTTTTGAGGTGTTTCAGGCTGGAAAGGCCCAAAAAAGGTGACTTTTTGTGCCGGGCTCTTGCGGGGAAGAGGCCCGGCACAAAAAGTCACCTTTCACGGCAAAACCTTTTCCATTGTAGCAAAGTAGTAAATACACATCATTCTCTTGAGGGTTTCAGAGTCCGAATAGCTCAGTGGCAAAGCAACAGTCCTTGATGCCAATGGGCACCAGTTCGAACCCCGCCGGGTTCATTTTGTGTCGGGCGGGTGCTCGAACCCCACCGGTTACATTTTGTGTGGGGGTTGTTCTGGGCCTGGTTTTGCTCTTCTTTCGCGATTGCCATAGAAACTGAGGTGTTTGAGGCCGGAAGGTGACTTTTTGTGCCGGGCTCATGCGGGGAAGAGGCCCGGCACAAAAAGTCACCTTTTTCGAGGTGTTTCAGGCCGGAAAGGCCCAAAAAAGGTGACTTTTTGTGCCGGGCTCATGCGGGGAAGAGGCCCGGCACAAAAAGTCACCTTTTTTGAGGTGCTTGGGGCCGGAAAGACCCAAAAAAGGTGACTTTTTGTGCCGGGCTCTTGCGGGGATCAGGGCTTAGGGCTTAGGGCTTAGGGGAAGAGGCCCGGCACAAAAAGTCACCTTTTTTGAGGTGTTTCAGGCCGGAAGGCCCAAAAAAGGTGACTTTTTGTGCCGGGCTCTTGCGGGGAAGAGGTCCGGCACAAAAAGTCACCTTTTTGAGGTGCTTGGGGTCGGAAAGGTGACTTTTTGTGCCGGGCTCTTGCGGGGATGCCGGGCTCTTTGCGGGGAAGCCTTTAAGGGCTCAGGGCTCAGGGCTCAGGGCTCAGGGCTCAGGGCTCAGGGCTCAGGGCTCAGGGCTCAGGGCTTAGGGCTTAGGGCTTAGGGGAAGAGGCCCGGCACCAAAAGTCACCTTTTTTGAGGTGTTTCAGGCCGGAAAGGCCCAAAAAAGGTGACTTTTTGTGCCGGCCTCTTGCGGGGAAGAGGCCCGGCACAAAAAGTCACCTTTCACGGCAAAACCTTTTCCATTGTAGCAAAGTAGTAAGTACACATCATTCTCTTGAGGGTTTCAGAGTCCGAATAGCTTAGTGGCAAAGCAACAGTCCTTGATGCCAATGGGCACCAGTTCGAACCCCGCCGGGTTCATTTTGTGTCGGGCGGACCCTAACCTCCAACCCCACCGGTTACATTTTGTGTGGGGGTTGTTCTGGGCCTGGTTTTGCTCTTCTTTCGCGATTGCCATAGAAACTGAGGTGTTTGAGGCCGGAAGGTGACTTTTTGTGCCGGGCTCATGCGGGGAAGAGGCCCGGCACAAAAAGTCACCTTTTTTGACGTGTTTCAGGCCGGAAAGGCCCAAAAAAGGTGACTTTTTGTGCCGGGCTCTTGCGGGGAAGAGGCCCGGCACAAAAAGTCACCTTTTTGGAGGTGTTTCAGGCCGGAAAGGCCCAAAAAAGGTGACTTTTTGTGCCGGGCTCTTGTGGGGATGCCGGGCTCTTGCGGGGAAGCCTTTAAGGGCTCAGGGCTCAGGGCTCAGGGCTCAGGGCTCAGGGCTCAGGGGAAGAGGCCCGGCACAAAAAGTCACCTTTTTTGAGGTGTTTCAGGCCGGAAAGGCCCAAAAAAGGTGACTTTTTGTGCCGGGCTCTTGCGGGGATGCCGGGCTCTTGCGGGGAAGCCTTTAAGGGCTCAGGGCTCAGGGCTCAGGGGAAGAGGCCCGGCACAAAAAGTCACCTTTTTTGAGGTGTTTCAGGCCGGAAAGGCCCAAAAAAGGTGACTTTTTGTGCCGGGCCTCTTCCCCGCGTTTAGGGTTTAGGGTTTAGGGTTTAGGGTGTAGGGTTTAGGGTTTAGGGTTTAGGGTTTAGGGTTTAGAGCTTAGAGCACACCGAAAAGCTCTACACTGGTGAGTTACATGTTCCCCAACTCTGTCCCTATACTCACCTCTAATCAACCCTCGAATAAGAAATATATTTCAGGGTCTGGTTCAAACCTAACTTTCTTATTTCCATTTGGGGTTTTAAGAAATTTCGAAACCCTGGCTGAAAAAGGCAGATTTCTTATTAGAAGCCTCAGCCGTACCCGGACGTGTGGGAGTTCTGCCTAATCGAGGAGGCACTTGGAGCCAATCCTGGCGCAGGCCGATGCAGGCCGCACCCCCTTCGCCCCAGTTCTAGGCTGGCATGCCTCCCCAACATGTTCTCGTGGGCCCTTTCCTCAGTCTCATTGAACTCTAAACCCTACTCAACACGGGGCTGTTCTGAAGGATCGACTTCACTGGAACGTATATCGGAGACTGCCCCTGCTATGTTACTTTGACTCCGAGCTGAGAGAATGAAGGCTGAAGGTTACAAGCCTGAGGCTTCAGAAGCTCAGATGCCACAGCGTCTATGAGTCATTATGAGTCTTCGGCTTCTATGAACGCGCGCCACGCCGTCTAGAATGATGCTATGTCCGATTCTACAGCAGAAATTCTGTAAGGGGTTCACGAATCACACGGAATCACGGTTGACAGAGAGTAAGAGAGTGCAGGTTTTGGAGGGATTGACCGTGCAAGGCAGGCTTCATATGACGGCGCAGGGTTCGCAGCGTCAGGAAGAGCCATTCGCTTTACGAAGCTCTTCCTTGAAAGGGCTGCCCTTCCAGCCCGAAAAAGTCTCGCAGGCTGAGGTACCCAAACGGTCTTCGCCCCAGCTGCTTGGAGTCGCTTCGGTGCATGTTACATTTTGCTGCTCTCTTTCTTAAGGGCCTGAGATAGTGGGGGGACCTTTGGGTGCAGGAGAGGAACTTTCAGGTTGAAGCATCTCACTGAGGCAGAAGTTCTCTCCCTGACTCTGTTTTGCCACTCTGTACTGGAAGCGGCTGCTTTCGGAGCCGGCCGCCGCTTATGACCCTCTCCTTCCCCTCCATGCCCGTTGCAGCTTGAGCTGCAGACCCAACCCCCGCGCCTTCTCGGCGCCGGCGCGGAGCAGCGCCTCCAGGCACGTGAGGTGGCCCTCACACGCTGCGACGTGGAGCGGGGTCCAGCCTCGGGCCGAGGCTTCGCACACCGGACCGACTGCCATGCCGCGCAGAGCGAAAGAGGCCACAATTGCAGAAAGATCTCCCCAAAAAAGCTTCCCACGATTTGGCCCGCTTTGGAAGGTTCAGGGTCTAGAGGTTCCGCTTGGCTACTGGATTTGTCTGAGCGGCTGGTTTCCGGGCTCCAGGCGCTCAGGAGCAAACCCACCCTTTCGGCTCGAGTTGCTCTTTTGACGAAAGCCCTCTATTCTGAACAGGGCCTTGAAAGGATCCGGAATGGTCGCGGGACCCGGGCTAGTGAAACCTCCAGCTGCACGCAACGCGCGGGACAGGCGCATCCTAAGGTTCTGATTCCGAGCGGCGAGCCGATGTCGAATCATTTCTCCCTATAGATTCTATATAGATTTTAAACCTGGAGCAGAAGGCTTTGTTGTTTTCACGATGACAGCCTCGGTCTACGGGGCTGAGGGTTGAGAGCTGAGGATGTAACGCCTTTGGGACTTGAGGCTTTGTGCAGTATTGGTGTTAGAAAGTTTAAGCTTGGGCTGAGTTTGCCTCATTCACTGCACAGTTTGACCCGCGTGTCTGCTCCATGGCCACCCAGAGCGCGGCAAAAAAAAGAGATTCATTCAACCTTTTGGAGAGCGTGTGTGGTCGAAGAAACAAGCTCCGAAGGTTGGCCTGCAGGGGCGCTCAATTGAGACTTTTTTGGGCTGTCTGAAAACGGGGGGGACCTGGGCAGAGCGCGCCGCGCCTGCAGTGACCCCGGGCAGGCCCAAACCAACCCTCCCAAACATGCCGTGTCCCTTGGCGGAACGGGGGGGGGGGTTCCCACGAATGCCACAAGGCCCGAAACTCGGCTTCCCAAGGCATCTGCACGCATGAAATCCCGGAACCTTTTCGGACCTTATAGGAACGAGGCCTGAGTAGGTTCGAAACCCCCGCTTCGGACCAACCCTCCAAAGTTCTCCTTTTGAGACCCTGAACTGAATAAAGCTCCCATGGGTGCCCATGGGTGCCCCCAACCGAACTGACAGTCTCGCATTATGGAGGCTCGCCTTTGAAAGAAGACCTACTTTCGAGCACTACGTGCAAGGATGGCATGCACTTTCGAGGTGCCTCCCTGAACCATCAACAGTGCCATACGCAAACCGAGCAGATATGACAGTGCCGGGCAGTTTTGGTGGCTTCTCGGTGGGCTGTTTCCGGGGGCTGTGGTCTTTCAATCGCCCTAGCCCCGGCTGATTTCCAAAACCCTCTACAAGCAGAACACTACAGTCACGACTACAGTACAGTATATGCTGTAGCTCTACTGCAGCGCATCGCATCCCCTTCGAGATGGCTGTACACGTCGACTCGGCGCTTCTCGGCGCACGAAGGAGAGAAGACTCGAAGGCTGCGGCACTCTGCGGCCCTTTGAGGCCCCGGCCACCCCTCCCGCGTGCTTCCTGGAACCAGGGAGAGACAGGAGGGGCGCACACCCCATGTGATGTTTTCTTGTTGGAGAAGGGGACCGTCTAAATATGGCACCGGACATTTCTAATCATAGAGCTCTTGTCGAGAGGGCCCCGTCGCAGAATTCTGCAGATGTTGGGAGACGTGGATGGAAGAAAGCCTCTGCAAAAGCTCTGCAAATTTGCCAGGCCCGAGTGTTTCACGGCAGGTGGCCTCTTGAAAGTGAGGCAACAGTCTACACGGAGTTTGGGGCGCCTTGCCTTCACTTCTTTTGACAGTGTGAAGCTACAGGCGCTGTACCTCAAAGGGCCCCAGGAGCAGCAAACAACTTCAGGGCATCTTCTGGTGTGTACCCTTCCCCCGCAAAACATGTCACACGTGATGTCTAGCAATGATGCGCTGTCTGATTTGACCGGTCTTAGTGGGAAGTCACATCAGCCTGCTCAGAGACTCTTTTCGCGGAAATGTCATGTTCAGGAATCGGTTGACTGAGCGTGCAGGTTGCGAGGGTCTGGTTTCCGGGGTAGCCCGCGCGCTTGGGGAGCTGTCTAGGCGCTCGGGGCCATCCGATGCAGCATGATGCAGAATCATGCTGCATGATGAAGCATGATGCGGCAGCAAGTCGCATGAGGCGCTCGAAGCACTAGGGGATTTACCCTTCCCATCGCCTGCCCACGAATCCCCCGATGAGACTGCCTGCCCCTGACACAGACCCCTTCCGTTTGAAGGGAAGCTTGGAAGGTTTTGCTATGGCTGCTAGCTGCAGGAGGAGAATTATCGGAAGTCTTGCTTCATCGTCGCTGCTTTCCATGCTCGTTTTTGCTTTCCTGTTAATCGGAAGTCTTGCTTCATCGTCGCTGCTTTCCATGCTCGTTTTTGCTTTCCTGTTAAGGTGGGTGTGGCTTGGACTCTGCACTCGGTAACGGCTTGCCTTCTGGCAGACGTCACCTTTTCTTCGGGTTGAGGGGACCCTGCGAATGCCTCTCGCTAGCTTGGATACGATGGAGTGGGCAATGAGGGAGCATCATGGACTTGATGATGCTGGATGGCTGCATTCTTCGAGGAGGCGCTGGCCCCGCATGCCCTATCTGTTCTTGCTAATTGTCTGGGCGGCTTGAAAGGGGCCTGGCCCTAGGCGTGCAGGCGAGGTGTATGTGATTTTTCTCCCTTCCCCTGAAACTCTGGCCCTTAGGACCGGGCTTGGAATCCCTGCGAAGGCTTGGGGACCCTCTGCGAATCCCTGCGAAGGCCTTCTGAAAAAGACTCTGAACAAAACCACTTTGAAACTTTGAAAGCCGCTGCAGGCGTTCTTTCGAGCTCTCACCGCTACCTGCCCCTGCTGCATTGTTTTTGTTTGGGTACCTGACTGCTTGCTGCTTGCCTGCCTCTGGTGCCATTGCTGCTCGTCTGAAGTTGCTTGGGGATCTCTGCCTCGTCTTTGCTTTAGGGCCTGATTTCTGTGGAGCCTTCAAGTCTGGGGCCTGAGCCCTTCGGGCTGCCCGTGTGGCTTTCAATGAGATTTCCCGTTTTTTTGCAAACCTCTGTAACCGAGCCCTCAACCCCTCCGGCGCCTTGTCGGCGCCGGCGTTCAGCAGCGCGCGGAGGCACTCCAGCTGGCCGGTCTGCGCTGCGAGGTAGAGCGGGGTCGCGCCTCGGGCCAAGACACGCGCACGGAGCACAATGTTTTCCCAGGCAGCTGGTAGCATCATTAGCCTGCTCGCGTTTACAGCGCTCCAGGCATCCCGGAGGCTGAAGCCAATAAAAGAGAGCTCCACTTTTTTTCAACCACTTCAGCTTTTGTGTTCCTTTGCCACTGCTGACAGCACTGAAGGCCTTGGAGTTGCTGTGGGGCTGCAGAGGAAATTCTTTATAGACCTTTCCATCTCCCCGTCTCCCCACGGCAGGGGGAGGGACCACCTGAAGCCCTGGCTACCCAACTCAGACCTTTCGGGGGTCTAAAGTGGTGGGTAAAGTACAGAAGCCCATGCCTGGACCCAGGAGAAACGCATCCTTCAGAGTTCAAGGTAAACGGGCAGCATTGTTTTCTTTATAAACACGGAGAGCGCACCATCTCCAAGCGTGAGTCTTCGGGGCCCTACAGGACCCCAGGAAAGAGGTAGGGAAAAAGTCTGAACAGGTCTGAGTAGGGTACATAGCCCCCGTTTCAGACCCCAGAAGAATCCCACGGATGCCCAAGCCCGAACTCATGTTCCCTGGTCCGCGCATTGCGGCAGCTCGCCTTTCAAGGAAGGCCTGCTTTTTACATCTTTCAAGCACTGCGACGTCCCTGCTGCAAGGATGGCACCCCCTCCTGTTGCCTCCCTGAACCCATACACGACTAGCTCGAGACACGCGCGCAGATCGAGAAGAAGTGACCGTGTCGGGCGGTTTTGGGGGTTTTGGAGTTCCGGTGGAGGTTTCCGGGGGCTGTGCTTTATGGACCTCGCTGTGTCTTACTGGGGGTTCTGCCAGCAGCTCTTCTTTTCAATCGCCCTAGCCCCAGCTGATTTCCAGAAACCTCGAAAGAAGAATCACTACAATCGTTACACTACCAGCTCAAGACGATAGCTCCGTAGCTTCAATCCCGGTATCCCAGGTCTGAGTAGGTGAGGAGACCCCCGTTTTTCAGACCCCCAACCCTCCAAAGTTCCCCTTTGAAGGCCCTGCCTTAACAAACTGAGAGAAATTCCCACGCACGCCCAGGCCCGAACCCAGATTCCCTTGGACCCCTTGGCTGTTGGCATGACCGACACGTTCGCATTACGGCAGCTCGCCTCTCTAGGAAGAAAGCTTTTTGTTTTGCATCTTTCGAGCACGGCGATGCCCCTGCTGCAAGGATGGCACACGATTTCGAGATATCTCAACTGCGCCATACGCGATGAGCTCAAGATGTGCGTGCAAAAACCGAGAAGAAGTGACAGTGCTAGGCCGCAGGCAGTTTTGGGGGGACATCGGAGGCTGAGATTTCTGGACCTCTCTGTGTCTGAATGGGGGTTCTGCCAACAGACATTTACAGTAAAGGCCCACTCTTTTCAGTCGCCCGAGCCCCAGCAGCCCCAACTGATGTCGAGAAACCTCGACACAAAGAAGCACTCCATTGACTACAGTACAGTATATACCCGGCGGATGTCCACAAACCTCTACAAAAAGAGGCACTACAGTGACTACATCTGATGTAGTGGCTTTCAGGCGAGACCCGTCTTTGCTTCAACGCCGACGGCGCCAAGTGCCTTGGGCTTGGCTTTCCCCGGGCGCAGCGCGCTGCCCGCCGGCCCGGCCAAGGTGGCCGCCGAGCTGCTGGAGCCCAAAGCAGCCTCCTGGCCAAGGGACTGAAAGGGGCACATTCTTCGATGAGGCCCGTACTGCGAAGGCCAGGCTTTTAGGGTGCTACAGGCTCCCTCAGGCCATCTGGCATGACTGAATGCGGAGAAAAACAAAAAGTGTGTCTTGGCTAGTTGCCTTCCCGAGGTCCTGAAACCAATGAGGACCCCGAACTTTGAGCAAAGTACACTTCCCCTTTGCATGGAGAGATGCCAGCCCTCGTTCTACCCGAAACAGCACGGCTTGCGAAACACAGAGACTGTGGCTGGTTTGTCGCAAACTACAGCTTTCGGGCATCAATCACCATGAGCATGCGTGGGGTTTGTTCACCCCTTGCGTCTTGGAGCCCTCACCCAGTATTATGATCATGAGAGCACGAGTGAACAGAGTGAACGCCTGTATGTTTGTAGTGAGTGAATGAAGTCAAGGATCGCAGCGCATGCATATACGGGCCAGTGAGCGAAGAGAACAACAAAGACAAATAACAGTAATTGCTACTTTTGCTTTCATTCGGGCGTCCATTTACTTCTTTGTTATTACACGAGCTCACAAGGTCTGTGAGTGGTCGTCAGGCTTCGAGGGCTTCAGCACTCCCTCTCCGCACGTCTTGCCCAGTCCTCCACTTTGGCCCGGGCCTTCTGCCTCAGCTGTTGCGGCCGACTCAAACCCAGCCCCATCCAACTTCTGTACGCCTGCCAGCGAAGGAGACGACGACCCCGGAAACTAGCAAACACAAATGTACACGGACACTCCTGCGCATCAGAGCAGATGGTGGCTTCGGGAACTCGATTTGTGAGAGGGTCGGGATTTAGGGCCGCAACTTTTGAATCACCATAGTTTCTGAAAAAAAAAACGGGGAATGGTTGCCAAGCGCCCCAAACTCAACAAATATTGCACCAGCTCTACCAAATACGCAGCAAGCGCAACCAGAGCCCGCCACTGAAGCTGCCAACAAAAAAGACAAGCGGTGTTCCTCTCCAAGCGGCAGCGCAGCGCCGTCGCCACCCCCGGCCGACAGCTTTGGCTCCGAGGCGCTCGCTGCCAGTGCCGACGCCTCGCCAACACGAAAAGCCCGCTAGAACACCCGAAAAATCCACGAACCGTCTAACTACCCGAACCCCCACAGCATGACTCACCACTTCTGAATCTTCTAAAAACAATCAGCCTCAAAGGAGAGGCTTGTGGGACTTGTGGGCCTTGGGACGTGGGACATGGTAAGTTTGAAAGCAGGGGTGGTCACAGCATCTACACGGTCGTGTCCTACGTGGGGTCGGTATTGACAGTCCATTTACCACAAATGCGCTTTGCACCCCGAGCCCAAAAAAGCCGAAAAAGAGACCCACAGCCCGGCTCGGTCCGGCCCGGGAGGATTTCCGGGCTCGTGGAACCAGTCCGCCCTTGACACTCCCGTGAGCGGCTTGACACCTCTGCCCGCAGACCTTTCAAGGGCCAAGGTTTAGGGTTTAATCTTGTGGCCCTTCCACCTTGGCTGCAGCTCCATCCTGCTGAATGCTCCGCGCATGTGGGACTCACAATTCCAGGCGCCCCAAGGTTTCGATTTTCGAGGGGCCCCTTCAATTATCCTTTCAACTCCCTTTCGACTGTCCTGGTAGAAGCAAAGAGAGAACGTGAAGGAGAGGAAGGGAGAGCGCCAGAAAGATCTGAGCAGCGTGTCTCTGTGCCGGTGCCCATCTGGGCTCCCTCACACCGGCTTCGCGGGGGAACTCATGCTGTAGCTGCCATGGGCATGCTACTATATGAGTATTTTTGTGATAGGGAAGTCAGGCCGAAGCTCTCCACCAAAATCACCACCACAAGCCCCACTGCCCTACTGCAGTGTCAGCCCCGGCGCCTGTGCATCGTCTTTGGCCTGAGCCTGTGCCTCCTGCCTTAGCTGTTGTCAGCGCAGCTCCGCACACCCCCTCCAAACACTCCGGCAGCTCATGTCTTTGCGGCAGCTCATGTCTTTACGGGGTGCAGCAATCTAGAATCCAGGATCGAGGAATCTATAGGATGTCTGCATATGTCTGCTTTCGGTGCTCAGCACAAGGGGGAACTTCTGAACCCATGCAACAGTGAGGCCTACAGAGAATCCCAGCCTCTGGGGCCCAAGCTTCTTGTAAACAGGCATGTCTCTATGTGTGCTCTACACTTGCTTCGAACTTCCAGTCTTCAGCTACGTTGGGCCCTGCACCCAGAATGGACTCTGTGGCTGCGTTGTCGTCAGGACATGCCAGCAACTCCACATGGCGTGCCTAGGCCACGGCCACCCGACAGCGCGACCGGTCACCAAAACAAACATCACGCAGCCGGGCGGCATTGGCCCGCCATGGCCCGACGACTTGCGCTCCAGGCTGGCGGGAGCTGAGCCCTCGGCCTGCGGCAAACCGCGAATCACATGACACACCAGGCTTCACTGTGCCCTCAAACACAGATGGCTCCGTTGGGTTGAATCAGGCAGTTTCCTGAATCCCCTGTTCCTGAACCCTGGTTTCCTGAACTGAATCCTGAATCCTGAACCCTGGCTTCCCTCCCCCGCCTTGGCGGTGCCCTCCCGGAGCTTCTCGGCGATACGGGCAGCGATGTCGTGAGGGGACAGCAAGTCCCCCGTCTTCGTGAGGCAATCTAGATATACCTTGCTGGTAGGCATGGCCATGGCCAGAAGGCCGATTGCCTGCCCTTCCTTGTCGAAGGGGTGCTGAGGGCCGTGGGGGGGGCGGGGGGGGTAGGCCTGCGTCACCTTCAGCGGAATCACGTCGAGGTTCCGATCATATGCCAGCTTTAGCTCTTCAAAGGAAGAGTATTTCGAGCTGGTCACCTCGGCATAGTTCTCAGTGCAGACAGCAAGGAGGATCCCCTTCTGCACCAAGAGCTTCCCCAAGTACCTCGCGAGAAGGACTCGCTTCGTCATACGATGGCGCTGTTCACATCAAGCAAAGAAACTGCAGAACATCCGACACCCCCGCAAACAAACATGAAACGGCGGCACGTCATGGTGTCCTTGCCGAAGTCGTCGCCGGCTCCGGCCTTCACCATGAGCACCTCGTAGTTGTGCGCGAGGAGGATGCTGTGTACCTGGCTTTCGGAACATTCCCCCCAAACAGGGATCTTTCCGATGGCTTCAGGGTTCGGGAGACCCTTGCGCACCTGCCATGGAACCTGAACAATCCTGAACATACTAGTACCTTCCGGATCTCCTCGCGGCGCGCCTGCCGAATAAGCTGCTCCACCTTGCCCCCGTCGAAGCGCGCCGAGAACATGGCAAGGCGCGCTCCGGCGCCATCTGGGATGGCGACATCCTGAGCGACCGTCGCTTCCCTACAAAAACCAAAGGGTCTAGGATTCAGGGGGAGGGCTTGGATTGCAGAGAGAAGTCCCCTCGTCAAGAAAGCCGATGACAGACTTGAACCAGCACCGTGCTCTGGTAACCTTTGGTAACTTTCTGGCACTCCAAAACCTTTAGACGCGACCCAAAGCCACGAAAGCCACCCCACTCCGGATGCCACTCCTCCATCCCAGAAGAAGGTCTCAAAACCCCTTTCAAAGAACTCTTCGGCGAGTCGCAGCAGCTTTGGGCGGCATCGCGACCCTGCACGGCTGAGGCCAGCACGAATAAGAGAATTTAGGCTCAAGCAAGCTCTGGAATTCAAGGAAAAAGTTTCAAAACTTTCCAGAAGGGGGGCCGCTAAAGTCCTCAAGGCTTGCAGCTTGGGGCTGAAGGAGGCCGAAGGGCTCCCGGCAACAGGTTCTTCTTTGAAAGGGGGGCGCCTTGGCCCTGGACTTGAGCAACCCTCTGGAGCTCGTAAGAGCCCCAAAAAAAATCACGAGCCAGAGTGATGCACGGCATCACTCCGCTCCGAGTATTGATTCGGAAGGTGTTGTTTTGAGAGATACCATACACATATATATATATATATATACATATATGTATATATATATATATGTCTATGTCTATATATATATATGCACACTCATACTTGTTTCGTTTTTTCAACGCTACGCCAGAGTGCTATAACATGCAGTGCCTCCGGTCTGAGGAGCATTCCAGCATCGTCAAGCTGTCCACATGCTGGAAAACATGCTGAGCATGCTCAAGCTGTTCAAGCTGTTTAAGCTGTTTAAGCTGTTGAAGCTGCTCGCTGTTTGAAGTCCGAGCCAGCAGCCGCCACACAAAAGGGCCTGTGTTTCGCGCGCGCCTGCGCGCGCTCATCTTACATCCTCTGACCCGTTACAGGGCCCAAGCCCAGTGCGAGATGGTATGGTGGGGGGCGCAACCCATCACTTTGACTCTCTGTCCTTTGTCTCTTCAACATGCCGAAGGCTTCTTCTGAAACGGATGTTACGACCGAAGCAAACCATCTCCCAGGGTCTCTTGGTGCCTTTTTTTGGGATCTCCAGATGGTTACATAATCTCACCTACACGCGGGGGCTTTTGATAAAGGGCTTCCTCCCTTGCCGCTAGGCTTTGCGGCTTGCTGCTCCGAGCTCCCAGTCCTGAAGCTTCCACTCCTCGCTCGACCCTATCAACTCTTTGAACCGTGTGGAGCCCTAGGCACGGAACGGCACCAAAAGCCCACCCAAACCCTACCCGCAATTCCCATAGAAAGACAAGTTCAGCGAACCAAAAAGCCAAAAGTGAGCCTGGCCTTCCGGCCCCCAGGCGGATCTGGATGTTCCATCCAAAGGCTGTCGCCAAGCTTTGTGGCTACGACCGTGATGGCTGAGTTGAAGCGATCGCGTTCCGTCACTGCCACTTTAACCTCTAACCCTGCCCTTGCTGTTGCTGCTCGCGCTTTGGCATTTTGTGTACATGTCCTGCCCAAGGTTGCATGATTGACTGCTCATATGACGCTGCTGGCGCCATGCTACTGCTCGGAATGCAAAGCCGAAAAATGCTTCGGACATCCAAGAGGCTGCGTCATCTGTAGATCACGTGGTCAAAATGTCCACGTGCGGCCTGCGTGACATACCATGACTGTTCTCTGGTGTACGGGTAGCTCAAAAAGGGGCCAAGTCCGGTGTTGATTTCCCCGATTCGACTTAGAATACTGACATGTTCAACAGCCATCGCGTCAAATCACGCTCGTGTGCGCAACTGGAGCCGTTCCTTCTGCCCAGCTTCAATACCTAGCCCTGCCGTTGGCATGTGAGCCGATTCCAATGTTGCTAGGTAAAATCCCAGGACATCACAGCTGCCAAAGCTGCAACTGCACGCAAGCAAGCTGCAAACGATTCATAGCTGCGATCGCTGAAAGTTACTGGGGGAAGGGTGTTGGGAGTGAACTTGGCAATTCCGCACATCACCTCTTTTTGAAACCAGGCTCGCTGGAAATGAGCCCATTTGAGCCCCAGTTCAGTGAACCCAGAGCTGATATTCTTATGAAGCTTGTGTTGAAGCTGTAAATGTGGACGCCCAGGGGACCTCTTACTCCCCCTTTTCTTGTGCTAGGATCGCTTCTGCGTTGTAAACCTAATTGGAGCTTGAGGTGCCCCCTTAGTTCCAAAACACGCCCTTTAGTTTCGAGAGGCCCACGTCTGTTTGACCCTAAATCGTTTCCTGAAAGAAGCTCAGTTGAACATTTTCCTTGGCTTCCAATCTTTCAAGCCAATGGTCGGGTACAGATTAGACCTTGCCCAGTGTTGAAACCACCGACCCTCCTGCCACCCCCCATGCCTGAAATCCTTCACCCCCATCCCCGATCGACCCAAGCCTGGGCGAGGGAGGGTCCTACCGGCCAAGAACCCGAAACCCCGAAACCTTAATACAAAAAGGAACCCCCGCCGCATCCCAAGCCCCTCTCTGACTCAAGCCGGTGCGGCCCCCACAAAAAAGAACGCACTTGTCTATTTTGATTGTAGTTCGAACAGACTCACGCTCCAATACCCTGCACCCCACCCCCTAAACCCTAAACCCTAAACCCTAAACCCTAAACCCTAAACCCTAAACCCTAAACCCTAAACCCTAAACCCTAAACCCGAAAATCCGGAGCCGCGTCAATAGGTTCCTCAGTAACCTCGCGAAACAATGGAACCCGCAGGATCCGGGGTGTTACCGTTCTAAAACATCAAAAGCACCAAACTCACCAGGATGCTCGGTGCGTGGGGGGGGGGGTGCGCTGCAAGCTCGGAGTCCTCGTGCAAAGTCTCCATTTTGACTCAAACGGCTGGGGAAGCTGCTCGCGGATGCGGGTCCGAAGGCTCGTTTAAGTCAAAATTGAGGTTCTGTGGGCCCCAAAACCTCAATTTTGACTCAAAGGGCTTTGGGAGCTGCTCGAAGGCCGGAGCCGTTTGAGTCAAAACTGAGGTTCTGTGGGCCCAAAGCCTCAATTTTGACTCAAAACGGCTGGGGAAGCTGCTCGGCGGGTCGGGGGCCGTTTGAAGTTCAAAGCCTCAAGTTTGACTGAAACGGCTGGGGGAGCTGCGTCCTGGGCCCACTTGAGTTATCATTGAGCTTTTCTGGGCCCCAAAGCCTCAATTTTGACTCAAACGGCTGGGGAAGATTCTCGGCAGGTCCGAAGGCCCGTTTGAGTCAAACTTGAGGTTCTTTGGGCCCCAAAGCCTCAATTTTGACTCAAACAGGCGGGTCCAGGGGCTGTTTGTGGCTTTCTGGGCCCCCAAAGCTTCCTACAGACTCTAGTGAATTTAAGGTTAAGGGTCTAAAGTTTACTCGATTGTTGCGGGTTTGTTCCGAAGTTTTGGGCCTGAGGGTGGTCCTACCTGTGTCCCGATACCAAGTGCCGCAAAAAGCAGGAGACGCATCATGGGAACAAACCTTCACTGGCACAGGAGTTTCGAGTCTAGTGAAACCCGAAACCCTAAACCGTTTAAGAGTTTAGGGTTGAGGGTTTATAGTTTAGGGTTGAGGGCAGGGTTTAGGGGTAAATGCTGGGTTTTAGGATTTCAGCAGTTTTTTCTCTTTTGCCTAAACGAAGAGAATAAGAGAAGGGAGGGGGAAGGGCGCTGCACAGCACACCGGCATCCCTCTCTGTACATACCCCAACACACCCGCGGAGCCGCACTCCCCGCCCGGCACCCACGGCAGACCCCCCACACCTGCAGCACACCCACCCTCAGCACAGACCCACCCCCTCCCCCCCCCTCGATTGCATGATGGAAGTTCCCTGGCAGAAACAAGCAATCGCCTGCTTGCTCTCTCTCTCTCTCTCTCCCCCTCCCTCTCTCTCTCTCTCTCTCTCTCTCTCTCTCTCTCTCTCTCTCTCTCTCTCTCTCTCTCTCTCTCTCTCTCTCTCTCTCTCTGTCTCTGTCTCTGTCTGTGTCTGGCACGTACTGGAAAGCTGGCGCGAGTTGCATCAAAGCATCTTGCAGCTTCATATCTGCCATTCTGCACGCGGCAGACTTTCAGCGGTTTGCTCTCTGATCGCAAACACGCCGAATTGTCCCAGCCACAAACACATCAAAACGGTCAGCAGGCCTAGGAACGCCAAGCTTCCATCCTGTCTGACCTGCTGATGCGCTGGTGGCAGAAGCCCAAAAAAATCTCTCTCAGTCAGTCAGTCAATCAGTCAGTCAGCCACTCCCTCACTCACTCATTCTCTCTCTCTCTCTCTCTCTCCCCCCCTCTCCCCCCCTCTCCCTCCTCTCTCTCTCTCTCTCTCTCTCTCTCTCTCTCTCTCTCTCTCTCTCTCTCTCTCTCTCTCTCTCTCTCTCTCTCTCTCTCTCTCTCTCTCTCTCTCTCTCTCTCTCTTTCTCTCTCTGTCTGGCACGTATTGGAAAGCTGGCGCGAGTTGCATCAAAGCAAGCTGCCATCTTGCAGCTTCATTTCTGCCATTCTGCATGTGGCAGACTTTCAGCGGTTTGCTCTCTGGTCACAAACACGCCGAATTGTCCCAGCCACAAACACATCAAAACTGTCAGAAGGCCTAGGAACGCCAAGCTTCCATCCTGTCTGACCTGCTGGTGGTTTGGACCATGATTCTGGCGGACGCCCAAAAAAATCTCACTCACTCACTCACTCTCTTTCTCATTCACTCACTCACTCACTCACTCACGCACTCACTCACTCTCTCTCACTCACTTACTCACTCACTCTCTCACTCACTCACTCACTCACTCTCTCTCTCTCTCTCTCTCTCTCTCTCTCGCTCGCTCGCAGGGACGGACCCTGCGCCAAGGCGCGCCCCGCTCCCGCGTCACGTGAGACTTTTAAGATGTCCCTGACTGCCCTGTTGGCAGCCGCGCGGCGCCCCCAGTGGCACCTTAGTGGGTGTCCTTAGTGTCCTTAGTGTCCTAACTGGGCCAGCCCCCGTAAATCCCACAGCCCCTCTTCCCTGAACTCCCCAAGCCCCCACAAACCGCCTCAACCTTCCGAAAAGCCAACCTCCCCGCCCGCGACACCCCTCGGTTCACTGGGAGCTCTGCACTGCTACAAGTACCTACACCCCCACAACATGAACCCTACATCTAGGCCATCAACCCCGGGTTGCGTGGTGACATCCGTGCCCCTACGTTTCTGGGCCATGTTGTCGTGAAACTAGCTGCCAGGCCCCACTTTACCCAAACTCCTGCGACCCCTACACAGCCCCCAACCTCTTCTACTTCTGGGGCCCCCGACTTTGGAAACA